CAGGATATGGGCGCCTGGCAAAAACCCACGGAAGATTCCTATACTCCCGTTTAAAGGGTTTGTTCAAAAACCTGTATACCAATTTTCGGGCAGGTCCCTTCTGGAAATATGCAGCACCAGTTTGGAATCCACCCCTAGTTCCCAAACATGTCAAAAAAATTAAAAGAAATGCAAAGGTTTTTCAAGAAGACCAGTCCCCGAGCTCCCGGGGGGTTTTCCCGAAAAAAGGGTTGGGGGGAAATCCTGACAACACTGGAGGCCGGAGGGTCAAAGGGGGGACCTGATAACGAATATAAAAAACTGGGGCCCGAATAGAAAAAGGTGGACAAAGATGGGGTGTTTTCCCGAGATGGGGCACAGACACAAGAGGGCACAATTGGAAGTTTTAAGACTCAATGAAACAAAGGTGTTTCGAAATATTCTTCAGTCATAGAGAGTCAAACCGGAAAAGCCCAGAAAGTGGGAAATAGTGGGGGCCCGGGGCCCCAAAATAGTTTTAAAAGGGGAGGTATGATAAAACTCAGGGGCAGGGAGAGAGGACCCAGTGCAATCGTGAAGAGGGGGGCCCGGGCAAAGACTCGACCTCAAAAACCACCAAAAAAGGTGGAAAACCCCCCACACACACACACACACCACCCCACACTTTTAAAAAACATACACAATACACACACCAAAACACACACAACCCCACACACACACCCCATTTATATAAAAATATTTTTTTTTTAAACAAGTTTGGGCCCTCTCCCACCGAGGCAGGGGGAAACCCCAAAAAAAAAAAAATCCCCAAAAAAAAAATTTCTTTCCTCCCTCATTCAACACTTTCACCACACTACACATTAAACCCTGTTTTTGCAGAGGTGTCAGAATAAAAACAGTTTAAAAAGCATATACATATAAAAAATACACAACATATCCCCCAAACTGCCAAATCCCCCAAAACCCCCCCTTTTAAAAAGCAGGCAAATTTTACTTCCCATTTCCCGGGTCAAGTCCGACTATATATATATATAAAAATATATATTTTATATATATATATATAAAAATTTTATAATTTTAAATATATATATTTATATAATATATATATATAAATTAAAAAAAATAAAAAAAATTAAAATTTGATATATAATTATTATTAAATTTATTAATATATATATAAAATTTTAATATATATATATATATTTATATATTAATATATAATATAATTTTTTTTTTTTTTTTAACAAGTCGGCCGTCTTTCCCCCTACGGGGAAACCCCAAAAAAAAAAGAAAATCCCCAAAAAAAAAAAATACTTTCATCATCTTCAACACTTTCCCCACATTTGCACATTATCCTTTTTTTTGCAGAGGTGCCAAATACAACATCAGAAGCATATATATATATTTATATATATATTAATATATTTTATATAATATATATAAATAATATAATATATAAATAATTAAAAATTTATATTTATATAATATATTATTTATAATATTATATATATATATAATATAAATATATAATATTAAAATAAAAAAAATATTATATATAAAATATATATATATATAATTATATATATATATAATAAAAATATATAATATATATATTTTAAATATATATAATAAATATATATTAAATATATAAAATAAATATTTTAATATATATAATATAAAAAATAAAAATTATATATATAAAAATATAATATTTATAATATTTTATATTATATATATATACGGGAAAGGGCCCCCCCGCTTTCGGCGTTTACTTTACGGCTTTCCCCGCTAATCGGCTTTCAAATTATGCCCAAAAACCACTTAAACGGCTCCCCCCACCTGACTTTCTAATCGGTCACCGTGCCCCACCCTGTTTTGTTTACTTTCTCCAGAGTCAAAAGCACAAGTCTCTCCATTTTGCTGGAAACCCCAAAAATTTTAAAATGTTTTTAAAAAATTATTTCATATTTTTATATACCTGAAATTAAACTTATGATACCTGTACCCCAAAAAAACTTACATCATCAAGTCATTTAAAAATTCATTTAGTTTAAAATAACCCCTTTTCATTAATCCATCCATAATTTTTTTCAAAAATTTTAAATAAACACGAGCATAACATATTAATAAGATAAATAAACCCCCCAGTAAATAAAAAAATAAAGTGAGATGTGAGCAGACGACTTCCACAAGTACCCATAAAAACAATAGCCCCGATCCCATTTAAAAGTCGTTATTACGGTAAATAACATTTTCATTAATCCATCCATGATTTTTTTTTTCAAAATTAAAATAAACAGAGCTAACATATAAAAAGAAATACACCCCACAGTAGAATAAATAAACATAAATCGGAGCTGTGGTAGCAGACGACTTCCACAAGTGTGATAATAACAATAGTCCACCTGAGTCTGCATTAAATTTCGTACGACGTACGGTAATATACACATTTTCATTCAATCCATCCATAGATATTTTTACAAAATGATATAATAAACACGATGCATAACATATAAAAAAGATAACTACACCCCACATAAATAAATAAACAAAAATGAGAGATGTGAGCATAACGCTTCCCCAAGTGACGCCATAATAACAATATACACCCTTGGGCGTCTCATTATTGTCGAAATTACGGTAATATACAACATTTTTCATTAATCCATCCATGCATATTTTTTCAAAATTATATAATAAAACCACGATGCAAAACATAAAAATAAGATAACTACACGCCCCACAGCTAGAATAAAAAATCAATAAATGTGAGATGTGAGCAGACGACTTCCACAAGTGACGACCATAATAACAATAGTCACCGAGTCTCATTAAATGTCGTATATTACGGTAATCATACACATATTTCCATTAATCCATCCATGATTTTTTTTCAAAATTATATAATAAACCCTATGCATAACATTTAAATAAGATAAATACACCCACAGTAGAATAAATAAACATAAATGTGAGGCTGTGGTAGCAGACGACATCTCACAAGTGTGATATACCAATAGTCACCGAGTCTCCTTAAATGTCGTAAATACGGTAAAATACACATTTTACTTAATCCATGCCATGATATTTTTTTTCCAAAATTATATAATCTAAACACGATACATAACATAAAAATATGATAAATACACCCCACAATCGAATAAATATAACATAAATATAAGATGTGGAGCCTGGTTATTGTTTACTCTGTGCCTGGCCTGTCACCCTCTCATGTATCTCATTCTCTTTCTCTCTCATCATTTTTATTCGTTTTATCTCATTATACTTACTCCTGACCCTACATTAAGGACTACAATATTTTAAGGTAGTAATGAGTGAACTGTATAATAACATTTTAACGCTTCTGTGATGCTTAAATATCATAGAATAGTATGTGTGGCGTGGGTTGCCTGGTGGAGGTAGCCTGGCAATTACAAAACATACCACACTTGGATTTTCTTACATAAATACTGACTTGTCTCACCCTAGATTTAAGACTATAAATATTTTAAGGTAAGTAATGAGTGCACTATGTGTGTATTGTACCTTTTTATTGTTTTTTTGATGCTGATCTCGTGCTAACTAATATATGATAGGTAAACTTGTTATCTAGTGTTTGTATGCATTTATAAGTGGAAAAAAGGGTGTTTGTCCACTTTACGGCGATTTCCGCTTTAAACGGCGGTAGCCTGGAACCTAACCCGCCGTATAAGTGGGGCCTTCCTGTAAAAGAGTTTAGTGATGACTTGACTGACTTGACTGATTAACAGCCTTGACTGAATCACTGACGGACTGATTAGTGGACTGACTGACCCAACAGATTTAGTGACTGACTGACCTGACTTGATTTAGTGACATGACTGACCTAGAACTGATTTACTGGACTGACATGACTGACTTGCCTGAATTTACTGACTTAAGTCAGTAAATCAGTCAAGTCAGTCAGTTAGATTTTTTCACTGAAGAGGACCCTGAAACGGTGTCTAGAGCAGCTGATGCCTTACCGTCAGTTGTATAATGTACTGCGGGGAAAAACAAAACAGAACTTCATTACCGAATTTATCATGCACACTCAGTACACCCATCAACCTTTCATTACCAGAACATCTACCATCCACCTCAGCCCAGTAAGGCCACAGCATAACTCTCCACTGTCTTCACAATCAAACACAAACACCAGCACCCACAATTTAAGGGAAGAAATACTAATATTTCCGTTAGCATTAGTCAGTCCTTAAAGCAGAAAAATAACATAAACATCATGACAATGAATTACAATTAACATTTTCACTTTTTATTTTTTCTGTATGATCTGGAGTCAAAAAAAAAAGTTGTTTGGCTTTTTGGGGCTCCCTATGATTGAACCCTATTTTTATTTTATCCTATAAATACTTCATTTATCTTATATGGGCTTTTCAGGAACATAACTACTGTATAATATAACAGTCTACTGTATATGATAGTGTAAACATGTTACCAGGCATTTATATGCATTTAAAGTGATAAAAAAAAAAGGGTATGTCACTTTACAGCAATTTTCGCTTTATGGCAGTAGCCTGGAACCTAACCTGTAATATAAGCAGGGGCCTCCTGTACATCTTTTAATCTTTTTTTTTTGTGTGTGTTATCATAATGAACAATAACAATTAAGCTTAGTAATATAGATGCAGCAAGGAGTGTTTCCCTACTAACTCAGCCTACAAAAGTGGGAACAGTTATACATGTACTGCTATGTATATCACCCCTGGAAACTCAGCAAGTACAAAAATCAGTAAACAATCAAGAACAATTTATGTAATGTAGGTGTTTTTATGCCCACTTTCTAGGATTTAGTATATAATTATTAATGAGTACAATACTGTATATACATTTATTTATTACAAATTTTGTTTTAAGTTATTAATGTGCTCTTTCAATACATACACTGTTGCAAACACCATTGTTTTATTCTGAGACAAAGTGTGTCTGTGTTAATGTGTGTGGAAGGAAAAACACAGATTCACAAATACAGTAATATGTACTTAGGCAGAAGAAGATCCCTGATGGAAGCTGAAGGGCACAAATGCAGGACACATTGTTCCTTGAGCACCATGTGTGTCACATAACTCTCAATATCACAAGTCTTCAACCCACACAATCCACAAATAAACCAGTCGGCTGTATACTGACTACCTTCCACACCTAGAAAGACGAAAGTCAACATTAGTTCTTCTAAGTGAGATGCTTGTATTTCCATTAACAGAACAATCCATTATAAGACAAAGCCTTGGACCCAGTATCCTTGTGCCATACCACATGACTTCCTCAGATGGAAGAGCCCAGCTTAAGAAACTGTGATATGGGATATGTCTAAAATTTTTCTAGCTTGTCCATATGCTTTTCTTAGGTATGGACAATATACTAAAGTGGAGGAATTACATTATAAGTTGTAATACAAATCAGTGTTCACTTACTTGTGCTGGTCTCCTCATAAATGTGACTTTCCATAAGTGGTTGCTGATGTTCTCCCATTGTTGTAGCTCATACGGTAATTCTTGGGAGAAAATTATCACATTATTATTATTATTTTTACTAATCAACTGTCTCCTACCAAGATAAGGCAATCTGAAATCAAACAGGAAAAAAAAATCATCATTCACTCAATCAGTCATGGCAAAAATTTGCTGACATCACAATTCAGATCATCCTCTGAACTGCAGCATCCCTATCTGTTCTTCAGAGAAAGACCTGGCCCTGTAATTACTGTTTGCTATAATTTATTTACTTATTTATTTATTTCTTTAATTTCTAGTAATTGAGCATCTACATACAGATGTAACAAAAAAAATACAGGTAAGAGCAGCATGCCAAAGCCACTTATATGCATAGCATTACGGGCTGGCTTAAAATTAACTTAAGATTAACTAAGCAATGATGAAATCAGTGATAAGACATTTTTGTAAACAGATAACTATAAAGCACAAAAGAAGTATTACAATGTGACAGGTCATATGGTTTGCATGCATTGCTGTACAATTATCAGTCCGAAAATGAGTATTCTGTTAGATTGGGTTTTAGGTTTAACATTATGTAGAGGAGGGTAGAGGGGTATGGTGGGGAGGAGGAAGGCATGTAAGTAGTGATAAGTACAAGGGGGGGGGAGGTGAGTAGAGAAGGGGGTTCAGTTAATTCGATCAGTATTTATTGTGGTGGGGTGGTTGCGTGTTGAGTAGATGGATCTTTTGTTAGAGTGTGAACTTGAGATTTTGTTTATATATATTATTTGTTGTTTGTTGAAATAGGGAAGCACTAAACCCTGGGAGGTCATACAGCACTGGAAAATAAGAGGAAATCAGATCTGATCCAAGAAATGGGAGGGTACAAGTATTTTGAGAAGAACCACCAATGCTATTACTTCTTGTTTTGAAAACTGTATATACAGCCTACTTTTTCCTGGTTTTGACTACATAGGCATTATTACTGATGTCTTCGAAAAATAGGAAAAAGTAAGTCATGTCTCCTCTGTAAGGTTTGCCACTGGTGTCTTGAAGATCACTAGGTCAAACTCATACCATACTCACTAATGCCCTCTTTCTTTAAAAATCCTTCTCAAGGGACATGACTTCATGCCAAGGGCTCTTGATCCAAGAAACTGGACCTATACTCCCCTTCCTTGGATCAAACCAGACTGCCTTCCATTCCTCAAGTGCAATATGTCCCCTTACACATTTAGCTCTTCCTGATTATGAGAATCTAAATTACTGATCTGACATTTTTATTTCTGTTTTACCAATTTCCACCACAGTACAAAAAATTTGCTTGTATTCTGCATCCTGTTTTCATTCTGAGATCAATCATTCTGCATTAAAAGGGTTGGAATTTGTCCTTGTTAAATATCAGACTCAATCTGTGTAAAAACTCAATGCTCATAAAAGGCCCTAAGACCCAAAACTCCTTGCCTGAAGCATTGAACAGTCCCTTATCAGCCAAATGATTCAGAGCTATTGGTAAATAGCACCTCATCCCCTAAATGTAAGAGAGACACCAATATGCTATGTTAAACAAAAACCAGCTTTCATCCAATTCTGTCCTCCTTCCAGCCTTCTTTCAACTCCCATATATAATTGGTAATAAACCTGGTTCCATTCTGGAGTGCATGCAGCCAGCAGCTACAGCCTGGATGATCAGGCTCTGATCCACCAGGAGGCCTGGTCACAGACCGGGCCGCGGGGGCGTTTACCCCCAGAACTCTCTCCAGGTAACTCTATTTGTACTGTAATCTCCATTTAGTCACTATTCAATGTTTATTCAATCACTCCACAAAACTGAAGATCATTGAATCAGTTTCAATAAGTAATTCTTTGGTAATTGACCATTTGTCATTAGCTTCCTTTCTTACTGTACTTATGATTGTAGTTAATAACTTGATAGTCTATATCAAGTTATTAAGTAACATGCAGGCCTTATAATTGGTTTCCCAAAAATGCCACTAACCATGCACTGCATAATTAGTATATTTCTTTTGTGCCTACATTATTTGTATGGCATAAAGAAATAAATATTCTAATTATTAGGGCTCTGGTGGCCTGGTGGCTAACACTCTCGCTTCACACGGCGAGGGCCTGGGTTTGATTCCCAGCCAGAGTAGAAACATTGGGCGTGTTTCTTTCCACCTGTTGTCTATGTTCCCCATCAGTAAAATGGGTACCTGGGTGTCAGTCGACTGGTGTGGGTCGCATCCTGGGACACTGACCTAATTTGCCCGACATGCTGAGCATAACAAGGGGCTTTCTATATAGTAGTATGTCATTGTTGTCAGCTAGGCCTATGTACCATGTACATGTACTTGTAGTAAATAAAGTAGTAGCAGCAGCCTGTTAATGTTATGGAGTTGTCTACTGAAGCAAATTTCAGTATGTTTATCTACATCTGCTATGAGGATGAAAATCAATAAAGATACTTTGTCTTGATGTAGCTGCTGAACACTTTTTGCTAAGATATCATTACATTAATAGGAGAGCGCTAAACCCATAGGGGTAATATGGCACCTAGAGAATGGATGGCATAAAGTCTTTATTCAAGGAATTGTAAGAGAGATCAAATTCCTTAGGTCAAGAGCCCCTTACCAGCATCAAGAAACTTTCTTGAAAGGAACCAAACCTAACCCATCTAACCTAACCTAAAATAACCCAACTTAACCTTACTCCACCACTGGTAGGTATGCATCTTTGTTTACATTCAGCCAGGCATATGCCATAATTTAATACTAAATGTTGCTTGGCTCAAAAGTACTGCAAACCCAAAATAAATGTACTATTTTCGCTAATATCTCCCAAAATAACAATTTCCACAAGAAATATTTACAAATTCTGTGACGTACACAGGTTGTATGTATTACATAATGTAAACTAATGACAGAGTTGCGCTGAGTAGTAGTCGTAAACTATAGGTCGACAAAGTATCTTACCTGGCAGCTGTCTCCAACAGAGGAAAATTACTTAATTACGTATATAGCCGCCATATTGAATTTATTATTATACTCGCGTGCACAAGATCACACTAAAATTAGTTAATTAGGAGCAAGTATAAATAAGAAACATATACAACAAAAGCCTAAGCATATTTTTCCACTTGAAGCTTGTCTTCTTTAGTATGCTGTAAAATTTTCCTATACACTCCACGTCCAATGGATGTCCTAAATGTGAAAATATTTAGTTAAGTCTTGACACCATAATGAGCTTTATGAGTAATGCATCTTTTAATGCTTACCGAAGCTTAAGGCTAATATGTAGATATATATATACAAGTATATACATTAGCTGCTTGGACAAATGTATTTTAAGTAGAAAAGCAGCATATCTTTTAGCCAGGAAACTGAAGACTTTTCAAAATAAGAAACAGCTGATCAGCCCATTGAGAGACGCAAGGCTCCCCAACCTTCATAAATCTTCATAATTGGGTTAATAGTTCTGATAGGCTTATTGTGAACATTTTATATCAAATTTATTGCATAATATAAAAAGTAATGATAAGAAGGAATCTTTTATTTACGAAGTGAGAAGAAATGTTATGATTTTTTTTAGTGAGAATTAGAGCAAGAGTGTACGTCACGGTTGGTACTACTGGTCTGACAAAGAAAGACAAGAACACTCTTGACTGGACCAAAACAACAACCAGGTTCCAATAATATGTCATTCTCATGACCATCCATAAATACTATATTAGTTCACCTTATAAAAATAGCCTGATTACTCAGATAAAAATGTTTATTACAATTAAAATTTGTTTTTCATTGTCAAGTCACACGTAGACGCTTACTGGAATTTGCATTATATTTTATAGTCTTTGCTGTCGTGGCTAAAATAATAGAAAAACATAGGTACGTTCCAGTAATATATATTATATCAATTATTGCAGAACTTATCGAAAATTTGGTCTAGTGAGGCACTTAAATGGAATCAATAAATTAAAGAAAAAGTTGTTTGGTAGATGATGGGCTTAAAGTAGCAATAGTGAGAGTTATATTTTTGTGTGTTAGTTCAGTTGTGGTAGTAGAGGCGAGTCGATGGTCGTGGCCGTGTGAATGGTGCGCACCACAACACTTTCCCTGACATTTCTCGCCAGTGTGAAGCAGAAGTGGTGTGGCTTCACCACGGCGTTCACGTAGACACACTGGCCTCCTGGCAAAACCCACAATACGGTGGAGTCTCTCCGCCTCCACGGAAGAAACGTAAGCAATCTTCCGAGGACACCAGCAGTAGCACAGACAATATGCAGCAGCAGACTCAGCACCAGCACTCGCAGCAGCAACAGCAAGCAGCTAATGGCGCTAGTGAAGTGCAGCACAATGGACAAACTGATGGATGTGAGGGGAACACAGCAGAGGCTCAGAATGGTGTGAGAGAAGAAGAGTCTTCACCAAAGTTGAGTGTGGTGCAGCAAGAGATGGTTCGTCTTATTGGACAACATCTCGTCGAGCTCGGCCTTAAGTAAGTACTTTATTACTTAATTATAAGTCTCTTTTTACACAAATCTACATCCGAAATAAACATTCAGCTATATAGTAGTGTATATGAATAGGGAGTGCTTGGCATAGTGGAATGGTAAACACGACCTAGGGTGTACAGTGTGAAATTATCCATAATTTGTTTGTCGTGATTTTAGGCAAAAGTATAATTTTATAATTTAAAATTTCATATCAAACTTCATGAGCAAATAGCAACAAGCTGACCACATCAGTGAATGACCAGACCGCAGGACAGTGATCCCTCGAATCATTAACAGGCAACTATTATAAAATACTTGTTAATACACTTTTAGTACTCTATAAATTTTTTGGTCATTATTTACTTTAGATACTTTGATAAATATGAGTTGTACAAGTTTCCCAGTGTGCTCTCAGCTTGCACACTGGGGGACCAGGATGGACCCCTGGCATGGGTGAAATGTTGGGAATGTTTCCCTACTCCTGTTGCCCCTTTTCACCTACCAGTAAGTGGGTACCTGAGTATTAATTGGCTGTTGTGGGTCACATTCTGGGGGAAATTAAAGGACCCCAATGGAAATAAGACATTCTCCAAGCATTATTGGGTTAAAAAATTGGAACCAAGGAGTGAGAGATATGGGAGGAAGTGCAAAAATAAACCTCTTGAAAAGCAGGGATGCTGTGGACAAAATAAAAGAATATTATATCAACATCTGTGGTCCCAGACTATTTAACATCTTACCATAATATATCAAAAACTCTGCTGGGACAAGTGTAGAAGTCAAGAGAAAACAGGACAAGTGTGTTCATCAGGTGCCAAATCTACCAGGCTGTGGTGTATGTGGGCCAGTGGGCTGCCAGCAGCAACAGCTAGTTTTACCAGGCAAGCACGAGATGAACTTGCCCTATGGTCGGGCTCTGGGAGTAGAAAAACTCTCAGAAATCATCAAAGGTATATTGAAGGTTCTGCCTGTGAGTTTTTTTTTTTAAATCCAAAAATACTCAGTCTAAGGTAGCCTTCCAGGCTATGGAGCCGAACACACACCAGAACTGAGGGACAGACGACCTCAAGCTTGCTTATTTCATATATACATCACCGGGGCTTATGCTCTCTTTATTTTGACAAGAAGCCTGCTGAGCAGGCAAAACATCTTGTCAATAAAGATACCATACTGTTGCACATGTCTTATCTAATGTACCCTAACCTAGGTTGGATTTAAAAACTAGGTTAGGTTACATTTTGTTAGGTATTTTTGGGGGGCAATGGAGGAGGAAAAATTTTTTTTTTGTATAAGCTCAAAATATATAATGTTTCTGTTGCACAACCCATTACACATTCTAGAATTTGCATACTAAAATTGAGCAACAAAAGTAAATATTGAACAAAACACTTTTTAAACAATTTGTGCACAAAACAACAATATCTATTGTAAAAACCACTTATTAGACACTGTAAATTGTAACCTATCATTTAATTTTTAACTTAGGTCCACATCTAGGTGAGTACAAATAGGAAGCATGTCTCTCACATTCAGTAGACGGAGGATCAAGCCTCCACAATGGCTTGTTCTGAATGACCCACGGAAGTTTAGCGATTAACATGAATTATTTCTGTTTTTAACTCCTAGTTACTATGTATGATAATTATAGTTGTGTGTACCTATGCCCAAATAAACTTAAATACTGTACAGTAAAACCTTGATCTCATGGAGGTCATGTTAAACAGACAAAATATGTGGCAGGATAACTGGGAAGCAATGGACAAAGTCATTAAATCCAGAATTTTCATTTACTTTTGTAGCCCACTGGGGAAATTAATTTTTGGATTTAATAGACTTAGTCTGCTAATTCTGAAAATTGTCCATTAGTTACAATCATGGGAAAGTATTCTCTTGAATTTAATGGACAGTTGACTCTAATGGACACTCCTTCCCCACTCGCTGATTTGTTAAAACGAGAATTCACTATATTAATCTAATTTTTTTTCTATTCTTTAATACATACCTACAAGCCTGGCCCAAGGCTGGGCTTCTGGAGTAGAAAAACTCTAAATTCATCAAAGGTACTGTAAGGTCTTAATCATAAAAGGTAGTAGGTTCATAAATAAAGGTAGCAAAGATTGATGGACCAAGATAATATAGTGAACTGTCTAATTAATGGAACAAAAGGGGGGAAGGGGTTTAATTTATTGCTGATTGTCTGTAGATTCCTAATTGTAAAATATGTGAATGGACAAAGTTCAGAATCAGTGGATTTGGTTGGATGAGTCAGAAAACTACCAGTTACTAAAAATATTGTAACCTGTAAAACATTATAGTACTGTACAGGAATTATAAATAAAGTGAAGTTGAAATTACAATTAAAAATTTTTCTTTTAAGCAGTATAGCCTCTCCTCGCTTAGCAACATACTCGTTTACCAATGACTCGGACATATGTTGGGCTCTCTGACCAGTATGCATATCTAAATAATGTATATTAGAACTGATTTCCTCTGTTCTGTTTATTACAGTATACAGTACACTACTGTATAAACATTTAAAAATATACCAGAAATGTTATAAATGGTGCAAAAGTGACATTAAAACAATATCAAAGATGGTTGACAAACCCACTACCATTATAGTATGCTCGTCGCTTAGAGACGAATTCATTTACGGATATGGTCTTGGGAGCGGAACTGTGTCATTAAGTGAGGAGAGGCTGTACAGATACTGTATACTGCATGAATGTATAATGTATAATATAAGAATATAATAAAATGTTGTTAGTCACAAAAGAAAGCCACTGGTATGCAGTGCATTTTGGGCAGACTAATCCTGATGCTTAAAAACTAGTTAAATTGTATATGACTGAGAAGAAGTAGATGGCTAGCATCTACAAGAAACTTAGGAGCAGAGTTTGTAAGTTTGTCCATCTTCCACAGATATCACATGCTGTTTCTTAACACCATGTTCCCCACATTCCCATGCCTCTCAGACATCAGACTCCATCTTTTTTATTCAAGTTTTTGCTTAACACAGAGATTCATGTTTCCGCTTGGCACCACCACTTGTACTAGAAGCCTTTCAAATTCAAATTTTTATTTCTTTGCAAAGTTTACAATGTGTGAATGATATATTATAAGGAGTCTATTTCCATGCATAGTTTGCAGTGTATAATTACAATGTTGATTTGCAAGTGCTAAGAAAGCCACTATCATGCTGAGGCATTTCGGGCAGACTAAACCTAAAACATTACAGACTATACTTAATACTAGACATACAGTGGACCCCCGGTTCGCGATGCTATCGGTATCCGATAAATCCGGTAACCGATGCATTATATCGCAGAAAATTTGCCTCGCTTCCCGATACAAAACCCGGTATGCGATGTGGTTCGTACGAGACGTGTCCATGTGTGGCCTGAACTGCCCCGTGTGTGCCAGTGTTTACAAGCCAGCCAGTGTGCGCGCATTTAAGGATACATTTGGTACATTCCATATTATCCATATTATCACTGTTTTTGGTGCCTGTTTTTGCAAAATAAGCCACCATGGGCCCCAAGAAAGCTCCTTTATGGATGAAAATCATCCTCAGACAGCTATTGCAAGCCGTGCTGGTGACTATTACACTGACAATGTTGTGAACCACTTTAGGAAAGTCATAAAGGAACGAGAGGTACAGGCCTCTATGGACAGATATGTTGTGCAACAGAGGTCCAGTGACTCTCAACCTGGTCCTAGTGGCATTAAAAGAAGAAGGGAAGTAACCCCGGAAAAGGACTTGCTACCTCAAGTCCTAATCGAGGGGGATTCCCCTTCTAAATGCTAACACCATCCACACTCTCCCCTCCTCCCATCCCATCAGTCATCACCAGATCTTCATTAAAGGTAAGTGTCAATTATTCTTTTGTTATTTATTGTTATTGTTGTTATTGTAATTACTATTCTATTGCATTAAACTTAATATTTAATGTGGTAAAAGTTTTTTTTTTTCATACTTTTGGGTGTCTTGCACGGATTAATTTGATTTCCATTATTTCTTATGGGGAAAATTGATTTGCTTTCCGATATTTTTGGTTTACGATGAGCTCTCAGGAACGGATTAGTATCGCGAACCGGGGGTCCACTGTATATATCATAGTTGGTTTGAATTGAACATTGATTTTGTATATACACCTACCATCCAACTTACGACCTGCTCGACTTACGACCACTCGACTTACGACCGTGTTTTTTATGCCAAATTTCTGGGAAATAAACTATTTATGTTGTACACAGTGTTTATCCTAAACCTTACAGTATAAAATACAGTACTAACAGCATAAAAAGTAAAGTAAAACATGAAATACCAAAATAAAACAATAAAATAAAGTCATTACATAAATGTTTTATTGATATTCAGTAGTAAAGTTTGACTTACGACCATTTCGACTTACGACCGGTTTCTCGGAACCGAACTCTGTCGTAAGTCGGATGGTAGGTGCACATATTAACAGGGGTAGTTACAGTATTTTATTTTAGCGCATGGCAAACCTAATATTAGCTTAAGATTAGTAAAGCAATAACAGATAATTATATGGACATTTGACAAGTTATAGTGAGTGCAGTAGTTACAGGTTTAAAGTTAGTTTATAAAAATTACATTATTACAAACAGTGGTACAGTTTGAATTATTTTACAATGTGGAAATATTACAATGGAACAACTTAAAAAAAATTACAATATAAAATTATTACAATTTGGTACAGTTTAGAAATTTTAAAATGATTTACAATGTGAAATTATTAAAATTTAGTATTATTTAATACAATGGAATTTAAGTATCTAATTTTGAAGTAATGAGTTTTTGGCTGAGCAGTCCTTAGCACAATACAGTGGACCCCCGCATAACGCTATTAATCCGTTCCTGAGAGCTCAATGTTAGGCGAAATTATCGTTAGGCGAATTAATTTTCCCCATAAGAAATAATGGAAATCAAATTAATCCGTGCAAGACACCCAAAAGTATGAAAAAAAAAAATTTT